TGCGGGGGCCCGTCTCCAGCAGACCAGGGACACCGGGAGAAAAGCCGCAGCCGCGGCGGGGTCCCGCGCCTCTGAGGATTTGCCAGAGCAAAGCCTCAGAGGCGCAGCACCCCGCCGCCGCTGCAGCTTTGCTCCCCGTGTCCCTGGTCTGCTGGGGGGGTGGGGCGCAGCTAGTGCCCCCCTCCCCCCAGCAGACCAGGCTTTTGTTGTGGACGCTGGGGCAGAGCAGCTGGGGCGCTGCCGGTTGGCCTCTTAAGAGGGGGTAGTCTTATACGGCGAGTATAGGCGAAAACCTATGTTTTAACTAGAAAATTAGGGGGTCGTCTTATACACCCAGTCGCCATCTACGCCGGAAAATACGGTAGTTACAAATGGGAAAAAAACACTTAGCAAGCTCAGGCATTATTTCCAAATCTCCAAACAAGGAAAACAATAAACCCTGATGGACTATCTAAACTTTTCCCTACTTACACATTTAAGAAGTCTGTTCTTGGAGAGAGAAGCATCTCCCTTCACCCTTAATATCTGGGAGAAACTGCTCTGAATCTCAAACAAAGAAGAGAGAGAAAAACCCCTCTTTTCCAGTTTGAAATTCCTACCTGCATTGTTGTTGGCTGACCACCCAATACCTTGCCTAGGAGGGATTAGTTAACCCCTTAGTCACCGGGTGGTGGTCAGCACTCCTGATTATGACAACCTGCATGGAGAATAAATCATAGAATCATAGAATATTAGGACTGGAAGGGACCTCAAGAGGTCATCCAGTCCAGTCCAGTCCAGTCCCCTGCCCTCATGACAGGACCAAATACTGTTCAGGCCATCCCTGATAGACATTTATCTAACCTACTCTTGAATATCTCTAGAGATGGAGATTCCACAACGTCCCTGGGCAACTTATTCCAGTGTTTGACCACCCTGACAGTTAGGAACTTTTTCCTAATGTCCAACCTAAACCTCCCTTGCTGCAGTTCAAGCCCATTGCTTCTTGTTCTATCCCCAGAGGCCAAGATGAACAAGTTTTCTCCCTCCTCTTTATGACACCCTTTTAGATACCTGAAAACTGCTATCATGTCCCCCCTCAGTCTTCTCTTTTCTAAACTAAACAAACCCAATTTTTTCAGCCTTCCTTCATAGGTCACGTTCTCTAGACCTTTAATCATTCTTGTTGCTCTTCTCTGGACCCTCTCCAATTTCTCCACATCTTTCTTGAAATGCGGTGCCCAGAACTGAACACAATACTCCAACTGAGGCCTAACTAGCGCAGAGTAGAGTGGAAGAATGTCTTCTCTATAGAAAAATATAGGATTATCTCTGGGTCTGTCCGTCTGGCAACTTTGACAAACCCAATATTCATTTTCACAGATAATTATAGACATCTTTACATGGTTTTGTGTATTGGTAGAAAACACTCTTGCTTTATATTTTTTCCATCCACATTAATAGCTAAAAAAGCTGTAGATAAAATTTGTCCTTTTTATATACATACTAACATCAGATGCATTGTGTAAACTTGGAGTAACAATATTTGCAATTCATGGATTATTTTGACTTTACGTATCTGGGAACAGAATTTGTCCCAAAGAAGTATACTTTTGCTAAACCTTGAATCATAGAATTGTAAGACTGGAGAGGACCTTGAGATGTCTGCTAGTTCAGTCCCCTGCATGCATGGCAGGACTAAGTATTATCTAGACCGGGGGCTCTCAAATTGGGGAGTGTGACCCTTCAGCGGGTCAGAAGATTATTAATTTTGTGGGGTGGGCAGCGGTGTCACAAACTGTCATCCTTAGCCCCAAATCCTGCTTCATCTCTGGCATTTATATAAATATAAAAATATATGTTTTTAATTTACAAAAGGGGAGGAGGTTGCACTCGTAGGTTTGCTTTGTGAAAGGGGCCACCAATACAAGGTTTGAAAACACTGATTTAGACAATCCCTGGCAGGTGTTTGTCTAAACTGCTCTTTAAAATCTCCAATGATAGAGATTCCACAACCTACCTAGGCAATCTATTCCAATGCTTAAGAACCTGACAGTTAGGAAGTTTTTCCTAATGTCTTACCTAAATAGTCCTTGCTTTAATTTAAGCCCCCTGATTCTTGTCCTATCCTCAGAGGTTAAGGAGGTCAATTTGTCTCCCCCTTTTTCTTGTAACAGCCCTTTATGTACTTGAAAATGGTTTTAATGTCCTCTCTCAGTCGTCTCTTATCCAGCCTAAACACACCCAATTTTTAAATCTTCTCATAGGTCATGTTTTCTAATCCTTTAATCGCTTTTGTTGCTCTTCTCTGGACTTTCTCCAGTTTGTTCACATCTTTCTTGAAATGTGGAGCCTAGAACTGGACACAGTACTCCAGTTCAATTCTAATCAGCATGGAGAAATCTTTTTTTTTTTATTAGGCATGGGGAATTATTATTCCATTCCTCAGAACAACAGGAAAAGATACGGTTAAGGTTAATTCTTTTAAAGTTTTCTGCTACTTTGTATAACCTGCTTACCTATAATAAGTTATGTCCTAGCCTATATGAGTGACCATCTCATTATGATATTCCTCTTTGTGGATGTGGCCTTGAACTTCTTGCTAAGAGCTGATTAATATTTATTAAATTTACAGATTATCATCATTTGAATCCCTCTTTCTTGGGTCCCAAGCACTGTATCCTAGGAGCCCAATGTTATTTTCATTGGGGGAAGAAAATATGGATGTAAAACTTGTCTCTATATCTTTAGTTTTTAGTAAAAGCCTGATTTATTTTTCTTCCATATGTGTAGGAAAATCAGTTTTATGTCAGAAAGAGGCTCATTGTTACATGCTACTTTAATGCAGTTCAGAAGTAACAATGTTGCTGGATTTATTATTCCTATCATACAGATGGGAAACTGAATAACAGAGAGAGGGTGTGACTTGCCTAATGTCACACATTAAGTTTGGCAGGGAATAGATACCTAAGCCAAAGTTCAGCACTTTAACCCTAAGACTAATCTTCCTCCTTTAAACTTCATAATACCAGGACTCTTGACTGTGTCCCTGTGGTGAAAATAATAATTTTTGTCACGGATCTTTTTATCTCCTCCTTTACTGAGCTTCTATTTTTGGTGAAAGCTTTAATGAAGATATTACAAACTTCAAAACTCTCTCTGCTGGCAGGGACACAGGTGTGTGACTTCTTTCCACAATAAAATCTAGAGAGTCCACAGTGTTCTAGCCTATATAAGTGGCTATTACAGGTCCATTTCCTACATCGACGAGAGTTTGACATTATTAGTTTATCTAGATTAATGATCATTCTGATGTCCCTAGTCCTAAAGGGACATTCTATTGGTTTTAGGAGTTTTGTAAGTTACCAGCAGGCTGAGGACAGGCTAAAGACTGAGCGTGTGAACTATGACAGTCTTTCTTTCTAAAGAAAGTGTGTGGTATCAAGCCGATCTGATGTAATGGAAAACCTAATATACAAATAGTGGAGTTTTTTTAAATTAACCTTTTATTCCTTGCTATTTTTCCAGAGCAATAGAAGGAGAAAAGTATATATTAAAGAACTCCTGGTTCTCACATAAAAACTTTCCCATGCATACAAAGGGGAAGACAGAAAAAGCTTTAAAGCTAGTATGTAAGAGCTGTGTAAGCAATTTGAGTGTACAAATTATAATTCTACTCTAACATGCAAAAAGATGGGAGAATAAGCCACATGGCTAACATGACCAAATGTGCATCATGAACACAAAACAAATAGTCTCTAGGGAAAAGAGATGTTTGGTCGCAAACTGGCAATCACACAAGATATTGTCTAAGAGCAATGAGTATAATTTTTATGAGACAGAGCCATAGCAGGTGCCCTGAAGCATGGTGATCTGGCCCAAATGTCAATCTGGTGTATGTTGGCAGGACTTCTCTTGTCCAAGACATACATTTGCCATGTCTCACTGCATTGGATCTGAAACTTGTTGCCAGGCTGCAGCCTGTGCAAAATACCAAGAAATAGCTTCAAAATGTTCAGTTTTCTTTTAGATTCAATTATTTCATTTGATGAATGTGTGAAAAACTGTTTTTCCATTCATCTGTTTTTCCACGAATGACATAACGTGTAATTCTTCAATGACAGATAATGCTTTTAAATGGTTTGACAAGTCAGAAATGAAATTTACTAATTGGATTGAGGAGGAGAGCAATGAGGAGCTCCTGAATACATGTGCTTCTATGTACACTAAGTCCGGGCAATGGAGAAAAATCAGTTGCGAAGATCTTCCTCTGACAGGGACCCTTTGTAAAACAGCCTGTAAGTACAATGTAGGTCTATATCACATGACTCTTTTTCTTTCTTTGTCCAGATATGCACTCACCTATTTTAAACCTTTGATTATGGTATTTACAATAAAAGATTAACATACTACCCTGTACATTACTTGTTCGGGATCAATTTAACGTGCAAAGAGCCTGGCATTTTGTATTGCCAGCTTGAAAGCCTTCCTCCTCTTAGTATTCTCGAAATGATGACCACATTTCTAAATACCTGTCCTTTTTTTGGCACGTCTCTTTTGTACATACTTGGTGTGAGGTGGTCCTGTTGTAATGTGCAATACAGAGTCTAGCTGCTAACAATAGAAAATAAATAATTTGCCTTTCTGTTTAAAATGCAGCTCCTTTACAAGAACACTAAGTAAGCAGGTCAGGGGATCTTTAGGAAGCTGACATTTGTCATAAAAGAATCTCTTTAAATGCTTCCCCAAGTATCATAGAATGCTAGAACTGGAAGGGACCTCGAGATCATCAAGTCCGGTCACCTGCCCTCATGGAAGAACCAAGTGTCATCAGTCAATATTCGGGGTTGTCCCGATGGTTTCCTGACAAGTCCTCTACTCCATCAGTGATGATAAACTTTTGGCTGTGTGCATACATGCATGTGCTCCCTGTATTTAAAATGTTAAACCCTGTGCACTTGAATCAACATAATAGATCTCTGAGACCCCCCGGAAATGACAGATCTAGGCAAGGGTAAAACCAGTGGAGCAGGTTTATTGACAAATGACATTCATTAACAGCTGTTAGCAGACAATGTCAGTGCTAAGCCACTGTGCAATCTGCAAGCGTTGCCAACGTACCAACACTTTAACAGACCTATTGCCAAATGACATACATGCACAGTTGTTAGCAGACAGTCTCAATTAAGGATGTTAAGTAGTGTGTAATTGACTAATCCAATCCAATAATTAGTCGATAGCATGGAGCCACGGCATTTCAAAGGGGCAGCTCCTCATGGAGCCTGGAGTCCCCAGCTGATCCCAGAAAAGCAAGGCCGTATCCAAGGAATACAAACAAATTTTTAAAAACGCGGACATGCTCTTTCACCATCCTTGTAAACCTCGTTCTACGAGGCATAAGGGATGTGTCGAAAGAGCAGGTTTTTCTGAGATTTGCTGTTGTGTAGATGCACAAAATTTCAGAAAAGCCTCTTTTTCTGATTTAACTCTGCAGTATCGACGTAGCCTATGTGTGAAATGGATTGTTCCTTCCTAAGTGGAGCACTTTGCATTTGTCCTTATAAGCTTCATCCTGTTTACCTCAGACCATTTCTCCAGTTTGTCCAGATCATTTTGAAATATGACCTTGTCCTCCAAAGCACTTGCAACCCCTCCCAGCATGGTATCATCTGCAGAATTAATGAGTGTACTCTCTATGTCTCATCTAAATCATTGATTAAGATATTGAATAGAACCAGTCACAAAACAGACTCCTGTGGGACCCCACTTGTAATGCTCTTCCAGTGTATCATTCCTAGATACATAAGAACAGCCATACTGGGTCAGACCAAAGTATCCTGTTTTCCAAGAGTGGCCAATGGTAGGTACCTCCAGAGGGAATGAACAGAACAGTTAATCATCAAGGGTATGTCTACACAGCAATGTTATTTTGGAATAACTGACATCATTCCAAAATAACACAGTCTGCATCTATACTACAAGCAGTTATTTCAACATAATGTCAAAATAATGTCAAACTGGAGGACTTCTTACTCTGACTCCTGTAACCCTCATTTTACGAGGAGTAAAGGAAGTCGGAGGAAGAGTGCGCTTCCTCAGACTTCCTGCTGTGTAGACAATGCCAAAAGCCGAAATAAGCTATTTCCATGTAAGCTTTGCAATTGATGTAGCTCAAGTTGCATAGCTTATTTTGGATTTAGCCCTGCTGTGTAGACGTGCCCAAGTGATCCCACCCCATCACTCATTCCCAGCTTCTGATAAACAGAGGCTAGGAACACCATTCCTACCAATTCTGGCTAATAGCCATTGATGGACCTAATCTCCACAAACTTATCTAGATCTTTTTTAAACCATGTTCAATTCCTGGCCTTCACAACATCTGCAAATGTTGCCACCTCATTGTTAACCCCCTTTTCCAGATCATTGAATAGGATTGGCCCAGTATGGACCCCTGCAGGACACCACAAGGGTGTGTCTAAACTACACCCTCTGCCAACAGAAGGATGTAGATTAGGCACATCGCTATTGCAAATGAAGCCAGGATTTAAATATCCCGCACTTCATTTGAATAGAAATGGGCGCTGCTTTTTGCCGACACGGCACTTTACCGGCAAAAAGCGGCAGTCTAGACGGGGATCGGTCGACAAGGAAAGCCTTTTCCGACCGATCCTGTAAACCTCGTTGCATGAGGCATAAGGGATCAATCAGAAAAGGCTTTTCTTGTCGACCGATCCCCATCTAGACTGCCGCTTTTTGCCGGCAAGGTGATGTGGCGGCAAAAAGCAGCGCCCATTTCTATTCAATTGAAGTGTAGGATATTTAAATCCCGGCTTCATTTGCAATAGCGATGTGCCTAATCTACATCCCTCTGTTGGCAGACGGGTGTAGTTTAGACACACCCTAAGTTACCTCTCTCCGTTGTGAAAACCACTGCATGTGCAAATATGTTCCATTTTCCCAAAAACTGCTCCTTCCTCAGAGCACCCCCATAATAGCATCTGTCTAGTAGATGGATCAAATGCCATCTGTGCAATAATTTATAGAAATTTCTTTAGCATCTAAGCAAATTAAAGATGAATATCACCTTTTCAAATATTCATCCAGAATGATTTCTTTGTCCAAATCCTCCTATCTTTTCATCTGGTTGTTTTCTTATCAACATTTTTTCAGGCAAAATTGTATATATCTTAGACATTAAACCATTTGTTCCAGCTTTCTCCTGGATAAGCTCATCAACTGTGTGAAGAAGCTTTAGTTAGAGCTACTTTGGTTCCAGGTTTAACAAAATGTTTGACTTGTAAATCCTGAAAATATGGGATCCTTATATTATTTTCATTATTACATACTGTTAATATGATTTCAAATCAGGACTCAGAACAGATGTCCGAATTCAGTAATCTCAGCTCTTATTCAAAATTAATAATCACTTTGATTCTTAAGTATGTTGTATTAATATTTTATTAATATTTGTTTTCAAAGATGCATACAATTGAGAAAGATAAACTGCATTATTTTTCTTTTCATCTAAATCACCATTTGAAACAATTTCTTCATAACAACCACCATACTACTATTTAGTGTTTATTGCCCACCCATGGTCTATGGGAAGCCCTAGAGAAGGAGTGTGCATGCTTATTCTAGAGATCACTCTGTTGCCTTGCCCTACCACTTCTGTCAGGGTGTCTGTCTGTTCATGGGTGATCCTTTTTTGTATAGTAGTTCAGTTTTCTAGAAGACAATACAGTATACCTAAAAATGAGTTTGCTGTGTTACTGTCTCAAAATCCTTATAAAAAAACCATACATTTAACAGGAATTACAGTAGCTTCTGATCCGCCCACTACAGTGATGATAATATGCTGTGGTTAGTATTAAAAATGTAAGTAATGTGGATGTGAAACCATGGTGGACGTA